CATGTTTAAGGCCATGGATTTATTTTATTTTCCAGCGGGGAGTTTGGCTCCAACATCTAGTGCTGATCTGGTTTCTAGGTGGGGAGCGTTTCCGAGTGAGAACAACCGGTGCTGTCTGCTCCGCCGGTCACTCCGAGGGGCTCTGCTTGCTCCGTCGGGCCGCTGGGGCGTTTTAGTGCGTGGTGTGCTCGTTCTCCCTCAGACTTTCGTTACCAAGCATTCATTTAATGCGTTGACCTTTCACAAGTGCCTGCAAAGCTTTTGAGTACTAAGTTGGTGAGTCTCAACCAGGGTGCTGTGGCTTCGTAGGATGCCTTGAGGTCCTTTAAGGGGTGCCGCTGGGAGTCACCCCGTGTTAGCACTGGTAGGTGTGCCTTCACGATTCACAAAGAGGAATCCACAGTGTTCAGACCATTCTGCCCCATTGAGGTCTTGCTTGAGCTCTTTGCAAAGGAAGAATTGCTCTGTTTTTTCTGTAGTCAAAAATCGAGTGACAATCCAGAGGGGGGTCTTGGGTCTACAGCGGCTGAGAACCCCTGGTCTAAGTCACTGCGTGGGGTGGGGGATGCCGGGCACCGTCGCGCAGCACCGCCAGCACGTGCAGGCTTTTTAAATCCTTGCTGGGCGCAATCTGAGAAGCCATTGCACATTCAAACCCGTCCCTGCCCCAGCCAGCTGGCACCGCACAGGCCCTGCAGGTAAATCCCCACCCCCCATTTGGCTCCAGAGGTGAAGGGGGAAGCCTTTAAAAAGATTTTATTCCAGAGAGTATTTTGTGTTAGGCCTCATAGATCTTATAACAACTCTTTGCACCTTCTAAAGATTTATGATTTCAAGTTGCTGCTTTTAATAACCAACTTTTGTTGTATTCAAGTTGTAATTAATATGTCTGATGTACAATTAAAAAGTCTTTTTTAACATCACTGGCTTGCGGTCGTCTCCCCCTTACTGAGCTCAGGCCGGGCAGGAGTCCACGTGGCTCCCGAAACCTTGCACAAACCAAGCTGAAGACTTGGGGCGATGGTAGCGCTGCTCTTCCTTTAATAAGCAGCACAGGGCATTTCTAGTAACTTTGACCCTGTTGTATTTCAGGCTGACATTAATATACCTAATGCTTCCTGCAGGAGGGATTTGGACGATCAAATACATGCAGTGCTCTTATACCTGGAGCAAATGCATTCCTTTGCTTTGGCTATTTACTATACTGACTGGCTCAGGGGTGCTTTCTTTTCTCTCGTGCAAGAAGCTTTATTCTGGGGTGTGCATGCTCTCCCTCTCCTTCCCTCCCCTCCCCTCTCTGTAGGGGAGTATTTATGAGTTATGGAAATTACCTCAGAGAACCACCTTTGGCTGTCGGTGAAATGCTGCCACCTCCGGGTGAAACACATAGCTTGCCTGGCTGGTGAGAAGAAAACATAAAGACAGACGAATGTGAGCGAAGCACTGTACCAATTAGTTCTGGTTCCTGCAGATGTTTCCCCTCCAATCTGCACCGTCCCAGAGTGAAAAGGTGGCCAGAGATGTTTTGTTGAGGTGGCATTAAGTGGCATGCACGTACATATAACCCCTCCCAGGTAACTGTATGTTGATGCAATATGTTGATGCGCAGAGAGATTCAGAAAGCAGGTGACTCCTCAGCCCTGCTCCCTACTCTGTCTGCAGGTTGCTGAGATGCCTCCGTGGTCCAGCTTGCCCCTGCTTGGCTCCGAGGGACCTCTTGGGCGCGTGGCCCAGCAAGGCGCTTGCTACAAGACACTGGTCCAGGTCTCTCTACTCAACAGGGACCAACCAAAAGCAAGGCTGAAATGGCTGGGTCTTCGGCCCGCTTTACACCCCGTGACGACACTGCTGTGACAAGCAGCGAAGCCCGTCTCCGGCTGGTGTGCGCGGGTAGGACTCTGCTATGCGGGACCGGAGCTGGTTGGAGGAGTGCTTTCCTGTATTATGCAGCAAAATCTCATCTGCAGCAGCATGAAAGCAAAGGTGGCTATTTGCTTTGTTACAGGAGTGCAGCCTTGCCCTTCGGTAACAGGATTAGTCTCTAGCTCCGGTCCAAGAATTGGAGGAATGTGGGGAATCTTTTAAGCTGGACCATTAGGCAAACAGAGCTTAATGGGAGCCCTGAATTGACTCGAGAGGAGGTAATACCGTGGAACAGCTGGTGTTTTAACTCTTGAGACGAGAGCTGATGAAGCAGGAGGAAGGTAAATAATGCAGAATCTGCTGGCACCTGGCTTGGGTCCCAGGGGTAGAAGAAGGAGGATTGCTCTGATTTTGTTCAGGTGTGGTTTTGGGCTTTGATTACAAGTGTACACAGAGCCTGCGGGACAGCGAGATCCATCCCGGTGCTATAAAGGGGGGGCAGGCCTGACTGCTCTGGAGACTCGAGTCCTTTCTGTCCCCTGGGAGAGCACAGAAACTTCCCCGCTGCCAAGCTATGTTAAACTTGAACCACTGAAGTCAGTTTTTAGGGGCAGCTCAGTCTTCACAGCCCATTCAGTCCCTGACGCGTGCCACCCATCGGCTCTCCCCGGGCAGGTCCGCAATGTCAGGGTGAGTACAACAGCCCAGTACAACGGCAGGCGAAGGGGGCCGTGTCTTTCTTTCATGTTGCCATTGGAAAGTCGACTAAATGACCCCCAACATCTCTCCACACCAGGCCGTATCACTTAATCACACAACTGCAAGGCAGCTTGCGTGTCCGCTGGTATAAATCTGAGGTGGCAGAAACAGGCCATTCTGGATGTGTTATGAAACTCAGGTCCTGCTGCTGCTTCTCATGAATATGCTCATGGCTCCTTTTTGCAAGACCAGGGGTTATCCCTGGGCCCAGTCCCTCTGCTTACATTAAGCACTGAAACATTCACAACGCCTAAAAAGAAGTCGACAGTGGACACAGAGGGGCCTTGGCGCATGTACCCTCCAACCCTACTAATGCTTCTCTTCCCTGGTGAAATCCAGGTTCAACCCAAACACCCTCCTGTTTCCCGTAAGAGGCGACAGGAGCAAGCCGGCCTCCAGAAGTAAGATGTACTCTTGCTTATTAATGCATCTGATATAAGTGACTAAATACTGCTCCATAACTTACACCGTAGCAGACCAAACCTATTACAAGCAGTCGATCCTATTAAAACCTGAACGTCCCTCTGCACTGCCAGGCTTTATCAGGGTGAAAAGTGTTTGTTTCAGACACCCCTTGTGTTCCCATCCCAGCTTTCTCCTCTGCCCAGCGGAGGTTGTTTGCGCCATCTGGGCCCCTTTCCCAAAGGCTGCGTAGCCAGCACTCGGGACGTCTATCTGGTTTTGAACGTTGCCCTGGATTTTGGTGCACCTGCCGGAGCCTGATCTGCTTTCACTTGGGAAGCAGGACCTTCTTCTTTCTTTAGCTTCAATCCTCCCCCTGCAAGGAAGACGGCTAGATGGGGTGGCCAGCAGCCTCCCGGGTGCCAGCCAGAAAAGCCACAGAGCCCCCATGGCCCTGATCCTTCCCAACTCCGGACCCGAGCCCCAGCTCTTCCCATGTCCCGTGTGGCAGCCCCTCTGTGGAGCGCAGGTTCACGCAGACACGGGGTGTTCATTAATCTGTATTTCAAGCAGGTCTTCACTTCTATCCCAAATGCCGAGCGTGTGCGCTACCAACAACCCCCAGGGAAGCTCTGCTTCCTTCCTTGCATCTGTGCCGCTCCCACCTGCGCTCAACAGAGAACAGACCGGCAAAGCAAACCTCTTCTATTCCTCCCAGGAAGGAAAAGCTGGGCAGGTATGTGTCCTGAGAAGGATAATCAAGTGGTCCGTTCCAACTATTTGTCTGGGATGCCTTCTTCAATCCATTTTAAATAGAGAGGGTTTCCTTGGTCAATGGGCAGGCTGATAAATTCAGGAATTTCAAAAGGATGCATGGATCTGAAACAGAAAACACCCCCCCACATGTGATTAATCATCCCTGTTGCAGAAACAGGCTCCATCTTACAGTTGCTAGAGGTTTCAATTCAGAGCAGGATGTGCCAGCCTCGGACTAGAGCACTGGCATGAACTTCAAAGCACTTTGGTGGCCCTTTTCATCATTTAATTAGATTTTTGCTGGACTTTTGGGTTCAACATGGCAGAAGAAACTGCTAGGCTGCAGCATACCAGCGTCCCACGTGCCGTCTCTGATGACCAGCGCTAGATCATTCAGAAGATGCAAAATAACCAACCCTATAGTAGGTAGTTATAGGATAACCTGTCTTAAAGGAAAGTCTTCTTCCTGTCCCCAAGAGTTAAGCCTTGAGCAAGAGGGTGGCCAAGTCTCCCTAACCTTTATTTAATTCCTTTTGTAGCCAGATGTTCTTGTTATCCATATAAACAGCAAATATAGATATTTAAATATACAGCTAAGATCCAGGTAACTCAGTTGTTCTTGACCCCATAGATACCTTGTGATAATGAACTGCACCAGTCAACTGTCGGCTGGGGGAAAAGGTACTTGGTGAAATGCAGTCCAAACTGCTCAGTTTCTCCCACTTCTACACTGAGCCCGTCAATCTCCCCTGATTGCAACACAAAAGCTGAAGGCCCCTCATGTCAATGAACCACAGAGACTCTTTTGAAGGACGTGGGCTCCATGTCAACCCGAAAGCCGCTGGATTATTCCTGCCAGCGCAATCCTTGAACTGCTATGGTGCCCATGCTGTGTTTGGTCTTATTTGGCGTATGCCGAAGCAGAAAAGATCAAGGATTTAAAAACCTACTGTTGTGTCTAGAGAGGAAACAGCTTTTCCCTCTCTCTGGTTGAGTTAGGCACAGCAGATTTAGAGGAGACTGAAAAAAGGGCAGCCACACTGAGCAGGAACCTTACCTGACATAGTCCGATAACTCGGGGATTTTCGATGTCCTTGTTTTCACCAACTGTAAAAGAAAAAGAGAACCTGGAGCAGCTGAATTGTTCACACCACACCAGCCCCTACTGCTGACGGCTTCTGCTTTAAGGCTTCCCGGGGAATTGCAGTCCCTTAGGAAGTCTCATGGCAATATTATGACATATGCAAATGATTCAAATAATGCTGGACAGTCAGGAAGGAGAAAGAAGTATGACTTTGGGCATGAGGCTCTGCAACGGGACGCTGGAGCTGTGGGTTCAGTTCCCAGCTCCCCGTGTGGCCTCAGGCACATCGCTCGCTCTTTCCATACCTCAGTTCTCCTCCTGTAAACGGGGAGATGAAGATAGCTCTGTCTTGCCTGCTTAGACTGTTAATTATTCAGATGAGGGGCAGTCTTCTACCCTGCGTTCATAAAGTGCCCGGCATGTTGGGTGTCCGCCCTACCATAATGCACACGATAATGCACGTTCTTGCATTGAGTTAGAGCTCATGAAGTGAGCTGGACTGAAAGCCCAGCCGAGTGCAGTACAAGCCTGTGCCCCG